GAGCACCCCAGGGCTCTAGAGTTTGACTAAGTCCAACTCAGGATGTGCACAGTCAGGCTTTCTAACACAACTTGTGGTGGAAATGTAGTACCTGCATGCTCAACTGTCGTGCCTGCTTTGTTCATGGGGTGGCTGTGAGGTTTAGTGACCCAAGTATTTCTAATGCGCTTTGTCATCTTTGCCTAGATGATGCTATAGAAATCCATGGGATTGTTATTCAGATGCAAATAGGCCTGAAATACTGTTACCTTTCCACTGAAGTGAAGGATGGGTTTAATAAAACCAAATTTAACAGAGCACTGCACAATCAGACTTTCTCCTAAGGGCTCGATAATATCTTAGATTGCTTCATTTTCATTATGAAGAGGTATTGATCTATTCTTCGAATTAGGTCTGTCAGCACAGAAGGGACGGAGCATCTTGGAGCCCAGGGTATGTGTTCCAGTGAGCTGCTGACCTCAAAGCAACAAGTGGAACCATTTTGTCAGTTTGTCAAAGCAGCTTCAGTAAAGTGTTCTGCCTTGGCTGGCTCAGCATCGATTTTAACCTTGTGAGGGATGCAGACAGGTACATTTGCATGTGAGGAATGAGTGTTTTTTCAGCTGTTGATATCCACCTTGTGTGTGGCACGTGGGGCCTGGGAGGGGAGCACCAATAGGATGGTCCTTCCAAGGCTGCCTGTGTCCAACACCCATGTCCCAATGGCTGGACAACATGGATCTCGGGGCAGTCTCGCCAGCGCTGACATCTCCCTGCTTTGCGACTGTTTCTGTAACATTGGAAGCAAAAACCCCAATGCCTTGTGGCCAGTCTCTTTGAGCAGCACACAGAGTAGCTGAAAGTTCCCCCTAGAAGGCACGGGCGCAGCTTAGGGGGTCCCATTTCCCCGTGAAGAGAACTAAGGGGAGGTTATGGGTGGGTTTAAAAGAAAATCCCCAAACCCTTGTGGAGCAAGCTTAGGTGTGGTGATATGTGTTTTATTTATGTTCCTTTAATGCATGTCTGGGGCTTTATTTATGTTGAAAGTGCCTTTCCTTCTTTGCTGTGCCTGACACAGCCCTGCTCCTGTTTGCTAGCAGCTGTGTCACAAAGCGTCCTTAGTCCCAAGGACAGCATGACTGTGTTGTTTCTGGGACCTCTGCTCCTGGCTTTCAGTGACATTTAATAGCAATCCTAATGAAGCTGCCTTTCCTAACTGCTGCTCTTATGCCTGCAGAGGAAAGGAACTTGCTCCCAGATGCTTCAGGCTGGTGAAATTAGAGGGTTAATTTGCGCTGGTGATTGTGTTTAACTGATTGTGGCTGTTACCTACTCCCCCTGGGTGACTCCATGGGCTGTGTGGCTGTCCCATCTGTACAGTCATTAGCAGTCTGGAGGGTATCATTAGTGGTAGGCTTTTATTTTTGAGATGCTGAGCTCTCCCTCTGGAGTTCTGCGAGTATAACACCATCTCTTCCTCTGTATGTTGTGCTGGAAATGCAGATCACACTGGTTTAATGAGTACCTTTCCTGAGCAAGACAGCTGTCCCTGGGCTCCTTTCGCAGCGTGTGGCAGTGATTGCGTCCCGCTGTGTGTCCCGCAGGCATGTCCCGCTGCTTGGCCGGTCAGCCTTTGGCCAGCCCTGCTGAATTAATTGTTCCCTGCCCTTCTCCCAGCAATTGCGTTATCTGCAAGAGTTCTGGACTTGCAGCAGAAGTTGGTGGGTTGGGAAATTTTTCTGTGCTTAGTGGTGTTAGTGTCCTGCAGATGAGCAGTCCTGCTTCCTTTCTGCAGCTCTCAAACAAGCCAGTTTTTTTTCTATTGCCTACAAGTGGACTTGGGAATGATTTGGGGGTAATCTTTTACTCTTCGTTCTGCAACCCTGTATTGTACTGAACTGTACCCATGGCAAGGCACAGTGCAGGAGAGGATAAGACTGCATTTTGAAGCCTGAAGCCCATTTTGGATAGCTGTGCAGGGGAGGATGCCCACAGCAGCTGGCAGACTGGGACTTTAAGAATTGTGTTTCTTCAGAGCAGAAAAGGGATTTCAGGTTGCCTTCATCAGGTTAGCAGCTCCACACCAAATAATTTCTTGGCAGATGTGAGCTCTTGCTCTTACAATTTTTGTAGCTGTGATGGAGCCTCGTTCATTTACACCAGCTGGTACTTGGTGCACAACTCCTGTCCCCCATCCTTCTCCTTCCATGGCTATTGCCTCTGCGCAAAGCAGCTAGACAGGGGAGAGGATCTGCAGGTAGCGTAAGTCTTTTGAGCCAGCTGGCACAAGACTTTCATTACTGTCACCTGAACAGCATGGCAGAGCAGCACGGTGTGTGGGTCAGACGCTGCTCCCAGCACTGCCACTCCTGACCTGGCCAGCCACTAACCCTCTGTGCCCATCTCTTTCCCATCCCAGTTTCTTGTTACTTAAACTGTGTGCCCAGTTTGCAGAAGCGCCTGGCTGACACTGCATTGCAAAGCCCTGGGATGTGTCAGGCAGGCTTCTGAAAGTGCAGCCTGTGCTCCTGTGCCCCGCAGGCACTTGTGCTAATTTTCTCCTCTGAGCAGTCGAGGTCTGAGGCTGTCGCTGTCCATAGCGCTCATGTCAAGCACATGGATGTTCTGGTCTGGGAGGTGCAAACATTCATTGATCCTAGTATTTGCTGGCTTTGAGTTTTGCAAAGGATGTGTTTCTTATTTCTTTGTTCAACATTCATATTCCTCCTGTGCCTAACAGCCAGCAGTGCCCAGACCTGCTGGGTACCAGGCTGAGATGGGCACTGAACAAACACGGAGCATCTGGCAAACAGCCTGAATTTTTCCTCTACTTTTACTAGATTACGTAAAGGCAGAGCTTGTGTTTTACAAGATAAATAGTTATTTGATAGGTAAATTGGTTTGTACTTTTGTGGTTTTTTCTTTTACTTTTCTGCACAGAAGAAATAATAAAAAGCCTAGAGTACCTGCTTGCCTAGTGTAACTACGTCCATTTTCAGACTTAGCTCCAGGGATGTACTTGTATGGCCCATGTACATTTGTGGCCTTTTTTTTTGAGGCATTGGGACTCTTAGCCCTGTGGTGTCGGGCATGATACCAGACACCTGCATGAAAAGCAGCTCATCACCCCCTGAAGGGAAACTTTACTTTCCCCCCCCCCTTTTTTTTTGCTCTCCCTATATTACCATAGTGAAATGTCAGCTTGCCACCAGCTTTGCTGCAGAGCAGATGTCTCCTCGTAATTACTGTTGTTGCAGAGTTTTCAGTGTTTATCCTGACTGTCTAGCTGGGCTGTTACAGCATTAACTGGTTCACATCACAGTATGGCCATGCAGTTGCTGCTCATCTGGAAGAGGATGTAAGTGCCAGCGCACTCCAGTGAGCTTGTGTCTGCTGGGTCTCCAGATCAGCTCTTTAATGTGCCAAGGACAGCATCCCCTGGCAGTGCTTTAAACTAAGGAGGGGTCCTTGCAGAAAAAGTACCTGCAAGTGTGACTTCCCCTCCCCAGACATGGCCTGCTGGGAAGTTGGCTTGAAAAGAGCAGAACGGTTATGGAAGTTTGTTCTTTCTTGGTCCTAAAACACAAGCTGGGATGCTCCGTAGGGCAGGCTGCCTTTGTGGCAATGTATTGCCCAGGTTTGTAAAGCAGGAAAGGGTTAGACCAGCATTTTCCCACACACAGTTGCGTATTTCCTGGGAAATACGAAGAGTGCTCATAGAGAGGTATAAAATAAACATGCCCCACTTGCGAGAAGGAAATGTGAAAATGGTGGTTGGGGCTGGGGGAGGAGGGGCGGGCAAGGGGTCCTGTTCCCCTGGAAAGGGCAGTAAAGGCTTACAGGATTTCCTCTCCTGTTCGGTAAAGTCTCTTGGGTTTTCTACAGTTCTGCTTTTGGGGTCATTTAGTGTTCTGAAACTTCTTTTTTTGATTTTTAACTATGTTCTCCAAGTTCCTGAGAAGTCAGCCACTTTCCTACAACTCCCTGCTGCTGCTTCACTCAGTGGCACAGAAATGGCTTTCTTGCAATTGCAATATTGCTTCCCAGATAGCTTATAATGAAAAGGGATTTTTGATTGTTTTCAGTGCATCTCAGCCTCCAAACTCTTTGCAAGGGCTTCTTTCATTTTGGATGTACAAGCACTTCAGCTGGTGCCCACGGTTGGCCTTGTGGAGCTGGGACCGTGCTGGAGTTTTTGCTGCAGCCTTGAGGAGCGAAGGGCCACGTGTAGGAGCAGCCCTTGCTCTGAAGGACTGCGTGGCAGAGGTGTGGCCATGGCTCTGGGTGCAAAAGTGGTCAGAGTGGCTGGCAGCTTTGGGAATTTGGGGTGATGCAGAACAAGCTGAGGTAATTTCTCTGTGCCCCATTTTGAAGCACGGCTAGAGAGGGTATGCTTTTTTGTGAGCACTGGCACCAACCAGCTGGTGATTGCTCCCTGGTCAGAGTTATCTTAAGTTGGAAATATCCACTGATTTCTGAGCTGTTGGCGAGACTTGGTTCTCAGCTACTAGTTGGCTTATTTTGCCTAAAAATCTCCTCTGGGCTTCTTTCATTCTGCCTGTGGTTCTGCCCCTTTTGATTAGCTTTATGGCACTGCAGTTTCAAAATAAACAAATTAAAAATTAACCTCTTTATCTGAATCCCATAAACCTTTAATACAGCAAGTTGCCCAATCCATCAGCTGTTCTGATTGAGGTCAAGCAAATCTGCAAGACTTGAGTAATTACCTCCGCTAACAGCTCTGCTCGGTCCCACTGGTTGGGCTGTTTCTGGGTTCATGTCTGTTCTTTGCATAATTACAGGTGACAGATGTATTTCTGAGTGTACTCCCATGTATGTCCCAGCGAGGCACCAGAAAGAATGGCTATAGGAAACAGTGCTTTTACTACATTTTACTGCCTACCCAGCAGCAGCTTTGAGTGGGGTGCCTGACCTTTATCTTAATCCTTCTGGAGAGGTTTCCCCTGGGTGTGTTGGCTGCCGTGACAGACCATGCTCCTGTTTTTGCTTTTTCTTTTTAGTGCACTACCAAAAGATCATTCACCGTGACATCAAGCCTTCCAACTTACTCTTAGGAGATGATGGGCACGTCAAAATTGCTGATTTTGGAGTCAGCAATCAGTTTGAAGGGAATGATGCCCAGCTTTCCAGCACGGCAGGGACACCAGCCTTCATGGCACCAGAGGCCATTTCAGACACCGGCAAAAGTTTCAGTGGGAAGGTAGGTCTTTGCTCACAGCTGATGCCTCCTGGGACCCCCGGCATGGCACAAAGGGTGGCACCACACCTGGACCCTTTGCATGTTTCCCACCCAGGGATTGGGGTGGTTATTGATTAAAACCAAAGCTTCTGTATTCAGTCGGGGCAAAACTTACATTGGTGGTTCTGTGCAGTGGGCACAGACTTTGCTGTGGATCCCTGCCCAGACAGGAGCCATGTTAGAGTCCTTTCCCTGCCCAAAGGGAAAGGAGGAAACTCCTGATTCCCTTCCAAAATAATCAAGTGACACAGGGGGCTGCTGGCCACCAAGGCCATGTCTTGATCCTCTGAAAGCGAGGGGCACTGCCAAGTGCTGTGATGCAGATGTGGGCATAGGGTCTAGTGGGGTTTTTTTGACTGTAAGACTACTTTTGAGGTTCAGCTCTGATTTGATATTCAACCTTAAATGGTGTCACCCCTGTAAGAAGGGGCTGCTTGCTGGTCACTGTACTCCACAGCAAGGACAAGGGTGGCAGCGTCTGGCCCAGGCATGCTAAAGATGCCTTTAGGAGCCCAACTTCAGAGAGAATCTGCGCAATAAAATAGAAAATATTAAATGCATACAAATAACGTTCTGTGAGTCAGTGGGAAAATCCAGCTCATTCAGATCATCTCTGTGTTGCATCTCATTTACTGCCTGTACATGCTTTCTTTCAGGCGCTTGATGTGTGGGCCATGGGAATTACCCTGTACTGCTTTGTTTACGGGAAGGTAAGCTGGCTTTCAGATGCTGGAGCCCTGCATGCGAGTGTCTGCCCGCCTGGCTTTTGACTCATTCCTTTCCAAATAAAGGCAAACTTTAGAAACAAAGACCTATCTTATGCAAGCTCCCGTTTTCCCAAATCACCCTGCAGATGAGAAGGATCTGTGGACAGGATGGTTTCTCGAGTTGGTCCCTGTACTCAGAGCAGTCGTTCATGTGGCAAACCCCAAGCAGCATCAGTAGCACCAGTAATGGTTTGTCGGGGGGTTATTCGTATTGCCTGTACTTAGAAACAAGCCAGATAGAGCATGGAGAGAAGCATAGGTTTGACCCCAAGCTACTGCAGCACTTTAGCAATCCTGATTACAGACAGCTCTGTCTGCCAGAGCTGAGCTGGGCCAGATGGAGTCCACTTCGGCAGAGCCAGCTCTTCAGAGCTGCCTTCTGCAAACTCCATATCCTGTCTGGCTTTTCCCTCTCCTGTGGCCAGAAGCCCCTCACCCCACCCACGCTCTCCCAGGGCGAGCAGTACAGCAGGTACGTGCAGTCTGTGTGTGCAGGTGTGTTACCTGAACCCTCCTGTCCAAATGTGGACCTCTGCAGATCCTACCACACAGGCATAAGGCATCCAGCTTGGGGCTAAGAAGTGGCTGGGGGAGATGGCAGAGGGAGAACTATCTCCATTGCTGGTGTGATATTACCAAGTCAGGTCAGGATGGAAAATATTCTCTGACTTGTGTCTTGAATGGGGTCTCATATGGGGACAAATCCTCAAGTGATGGGGTATAACCTTGATTTTATATTCTGATACAACCTCATGCTGATATTACTTTCCTGTGTGGCAAGCACTGGGGGAAAGAAAGAGGGAATACAAAGACAAATACAGACATTTGTCTGTTCCATGTGACCTTGTACAGTAAATATTGTACATTTTGTACCTGTTTTATATTTCATAATTTAATCTGGCCAGGCAGGCTGGGACAGGGCCCAGGAGCAGCCCACAGCACACTAAAACAAGCGTACCTGCTCCTTGAGTTTTGATGCAGATGTTCATAGGGCCTGTGAGTATGCTGCTCCTGCATCTCCTGGCTTAGTTAACCTCCTGTCAGTCCTGCCTGTCCTGCTAGGTAGGAAGAGCCAGAATCTAGGTCTAAATTAATCCAGTGTAAAAAGTTATGCTGGAGAAAAATGTGCTTTGAATCCTTATATCAGAATTTATGGTGGAAAAGCAGGTGTTGTAATAATGCTTGTCACAGAGACCTCAAAGCAGTGATACAAGCCAGGTGATACCAGTATATCCATTTTGCAGGTAGAAAAAATGGAGCAGAGAAAAGGAAAATGTAGTTCATGGTCACCTGGTAGGCTGGATAGAGGGGGGTATCCAAATCCAGTTCTGTATTCCTTAGGTTCTTCTGCTGTTCTTCTGCATTTATTATTTAATAAGGAATAAATAATTTTTTTGTGTATAGGGAGACCTTATTTATTTCCATCTGTGTAAAATAGAGTGAGTGTGCAGAGATTATACTTCTGTTATGTGAATGACAAAGGCCTAAGCAGTGCCAAGATCTCTGACAACTGGAAAATCTTTTGTTTGTTTTACAGTGCCCTTTTATAGATGAATATATTCTGGGTCTTCATAACAGGATCAAGAACAAGCCTGTAGAGTTCCCAGAAGAGTAAGTAAACTTTACCCAGCTACTGTAAAATAAAGTTCAGTCTTCAATGTTATTTACTGTGCAGCGTAAATGCTGGTAGGTCACCACAGAGGGAGAGACAAGGGTGGGTGAGGTGCTTTGCGTTCTTCTGGGTCCTTAACGTGGGTTTTGTGCTGATATAGTCGAGGCATTACAGCTGCCTCTGCTGCTCCTGTGTCCATGTTGTACAGATAAGGACTAAAGGAAATGGCTTTTGAAATCTTTGGAAGCGGAGGGGTTTCAGTATGGGTCTAGGGAGTTCTGCCCCAGCTACTTGACTCTGGAGATGCTGGAAGCATGGTTTGGTTGGAGTTTTGTGTTTCTCCCATGTGGTAGCCACTGGAATGATTCAATGTATTAGTTTTCAAAAGCAGTGGGGTTTATAGACCTCTGTTTCAGTCTAAGTAAACACGTGGTGCTTCCATGGACTTACCTTGGAGCTGGGGGAAGTGTCTGATGGAAGGAGACCTGTCCTGAGAGATACGACTGCAGCTTGGTGCATCTCCACTCCTCTGCCTCCTCCAACACACTCCAGGAAAATATAGGTTTGTCTTGTGTGCTGGCAGACTGGGGCTAGTTTTGAAAAAACCGAATTAATTTACCCATTTGATAGTGAGAGGCTGCCCGTCCTGCCCCACTTTGGTCAGTGAAGGAAACCTATGTTGGCTACCGTCAGAGCTGCATGGTGGATACTGCTGGGCTGTGTTAGGTGGGATGGCTGGCTGCACAGTCACAGTGCGTCCTCTAACCCACAGCAGTGCACTCAGTGGTGAGGGGGGGCAAACCAAGGCCATTCGTGTGCCATTTGAGCAGTGGGAAGTTTAGCGTCGAGGCACTGAGCAGTCAGTGTTTGTCGTCTTGCCAGGTGAACCTGGCCTGAGCTGATTACATTTGATGTGTGCTCAGTCTCTGCCACCAAGCCGCCATGCCTTTCCCTTCATGTATTGGCCACTCCTTGGTATTTCCTCCGTCTTCAGGCCTCTGGTAACTTTCTGTTGGTGATTAATTTGTTTCTTCTAGTTGCTATGAGATGAATTAGCCAAAGCTGGACTTGTTATCTGCCTTCCTAAATCAGCACAGTAGTCAGGCAAAGAATTTTTGACCTCCCTGGCACAATCGCTCATTCTAATAAAAACTTAGAGATAGATGACTTGGAGATAAAATTACTTGATTTAAAACACGCATGAAGAACTTAGAACTCTAATGAAAGGCACATCTGGTATTAGAGAGGAAGGGAGGGATGTTGTCAGGCAGCCCGCGATATGTGCATTTATCTACAGTCTATCACATTAATTATTTGTGAGATGTTCACTGAATTTTTAGACACCTACAACGAAAGGCCAGACCTCTGCCTTGGCAGTCCTGGGCTTCCTTCTGAATCTGCAGAAAGCAATGGGTACTCAGGCTGTCCTATTTTAGACATCTGCTTTCAATGGGATGAGTCATGCCCCAGGCTCCATGGGCTGCCTTAATTCTCTCTCTGTGAAGCCTAGCCACTGCAGATAGCGCAGATGGAGCCACCTCTGGTCAGGCTGATGGAGCCCACAGTGAGGACTGTGTGGAGCACATCTGCCAAGGACCTGCAGCCACAAGGTCAGGCCACTTGTTTGATGCCAAACAGAGGCCCCAGTCATGGGTATGGAGCGACTCTGGCAAGCTAGCCCTGTGCCATTGGTGAGGTTTTACAGCTAACCAGGCTTCAGGCATTAAGAGCACAAAGACTGGTCATGCCACATTGCGTGTTCCCACCAGTTGCTCTGTATTCAGGGCAGGACTTTGTCTTGACAGTACTGCAGGAAAAAAAAATGTTTGTTTCCCTGGCATGGTCTCTCTGCTTGCTTGGGTCCTGGCAAAATGCCCATTCTCTCTCAGCCATCAGATATTTGGGTTAGCAGTCAGTTTACAAGTGACTGTTCCCATCTGTCTCTGCAGTAAGTTATTAACATTTAATGGGCTAACTGGGTTGTGCTAAGAACCTTTTCTTCATTCAGACATTTCCTTCAGTGATAGTTTGGCTGCTTGATTTATTTGGATTTCTCGGTGACCTGCTCTCCCAGTCTAAAAAAAGCTGCACCCCTCGTTAGGTTGTTGGAGCAGCAGAGAGTTACTGGGTGTTGACAGCTGTATAAACTCCATCTATTTGTTAGATAAAGGCAGTAACAGAAACGCACATAAAGCTGGAATTCACTGGACTGGATCCACCCTGACCTCCCACAGAATTACCACCTCGCTACAGTTAAGAATGTTTTGGTTTCAATTTATTTCACCATGGCTACAAAAGACACATTCCTGTTTCTAGACAGTCTGTGGAAACTCATTACCTGTTTCCTGACAACCTTTAGGACAGAGACGGACCTGACTGTACTGACATTGTCCCGTCCCTTCCCTTCCCTTAGAGACGCTGGGATAAATATTTATTGCTCTGGAGTTCTCATTCATGTCAGTGAGTCCTTGGCATGACACGAGGTAAATGGGGTTAGCTCACACCCTGATGATCCTGGCATGACTAAAAAGCAAGCTGGAGAAGTTGTGCAGACATGCATTAAGAGAGCCAGCAGCTCTGCGTAGTCCAACCTAGTGAAGAACTGAAGTCCAGGACTATGTTCTCTGGCCCGCAGGCACCCTGTAAATTGATCTATGGTGCTGGCAGCCCTCCCAAATGGGTGCTGAGCTCTCTGATGCTTGGCATTTTCCTGAGAGCAGTTACAGAACTGTGACTGTGAGAAATTCCAGACAGCACAGGCTTTTCAAATGAAAAATACCATCAGATAGGGTATGCACCATGACAGAATGGAGAGAAAATAAAACAGAGTCAGGGTGATGTGGTCTGTTACTTGGCTATAACCCATCAAAACTTTGTGATCGTGTTTACAGGGCTTTTCCTTATGATGTTAATCCTGTGCTGTGTAGAAATCCATCTGGTGCCCAGAAATGTTAGGTGATTTTGTATTCTATTTCCTGTATTTTAAATAAAGCCGTTGCCAGTTTGGCGCAGATCTGATGTGAAGTATTTTAAAAACACCATCTCACCTGCATCTCAGTGTGATCCTCCCGTCGGAGTCTGTCTGTTCTGACCTGCTAAATGCACTGCCAGTCCCCACAGCTGGTTCTCTGTGCCTGGAGCTCATCTCATGGGCAGCACAGTTCTTCCCATTCCCACCTAAGTTGTCACCTGCAGCTCAGCCTAGGCAGTGGGACTCATCCTGCCACTCCCCTGGTCTGGGCTGTATTACCTGTGTACTGCAGACCCTTGCTGCAGCTCTGAAAGTGTTCAGACTTCAAACTGAAGCCACTTTCTGCTCCTTCCCACTGAATGAGCAGCGTTTCCTTGTGGTTGTCTGTTAAAGATCACATAACCAAAGTCCACATAAAGTATTCATAAATTGTTAAACAGCAGCTCTGTTTTCATCAGACTAAAATATCCCTTGCTGTGATATGGTCTTCATTTAGGTTTATGATAATTTATTCCCTCCTCTGCTTTGGGAGGTTGCAGAGGAGGTGGGCACAGCACCTTGTCCTCATCAGTGTTTTCAGTCTGAAATCCAACCCTGCTGGGGAGTGATGTTTTATGCTGCCAAATCCCATCTCCTTGCAGAAACGTAGCTCCTTGAAAGCCATTTGTGATACTAACTTTCAACTGCCTAATACAATTCTGTCGTATGCTGGCATTTTATTTCAGTAGCACTTTGATCATACGGATCAAGTGTGTTTTAAAGACATTGCCTGCATCCTTAGCAACAGAAGTCATTGAAGCCTTTGGAGTAGAGGGACAGACTGCAGGACCAAGGGCTCTGTGTGAATAGGATGCCTTCTGGGTTCAGGCAGATGCATTTCTCTTTTAGTCATGTCTGTTGATTCCTTCATTTTGTTACCCCAAGGCTGATCTATACAGGTAGGAAATACTGAGTTACCAAAGTGGCTGCCGCCAGTGTTCATGGAAGCAATTTAATTAACACAACCTGCAAGCTTAGCTGGGAACTTGAATATTAAATGGGAATGTTTCATCGAGCATGTGGTTGCTCATGATGTGCAGGTTCAGCAAATCCAGTTGTGCCCTTCTTGTATCACAGAGCCCAGCTCTATTCTGCTCTCAATAATACGTTGCTGTCCAAGAATCTGTCCTCTGAAATTCCCCTATAATGTGTTGTATTTAAAATGTCCTTAGACCCATTCATCTGATCCCCTGTGTTAGTGGTCAGAACAGGTAAACCAAACCCCATAACAGTGAATGTGATGCCTGAGAAGGAACCAAGCCGACTATACCTTGCTTTCTCAAGCCAGGTTTGCAGAGAAGATACCTTCTGAGAGGAGCAGATTCTCTCCCGAGTAACCGCAGTAAGGACTATACATGCCTTTAGCACTTACAATTCCCTTATTAACTGTATACTGCTATTTTCTTTACTCAGAGCACAGATAAGTGAAGAGCTCAAGGAACTGATCCTACGCATGCTCGATAAAAATCCCGAAACAAGGATAACCGTCCCTGAAATTAAGGTAAATTGGACATTGATATCCTAGTCTCTTGTCTCAGCTGATTTTGCTGTTCCTTTGGTACCTTGTAATGAGGCAGAGCTGTTCCCGGTGTTTGTTTTGGGAGCTTTCTCTGGCACACCGCCTCAGAAAGAGAGAGTGCTCATTTTGCAGCGTGTAACAGCTCTGCTGCTTGTTGGGGAATATTGACAAAAGCTTTCTTGTTTACTTATTTAAATGAAAATTACGCAAAAGCTGGCTGATCCTCAGTGAATCCCTGGGAGAACTGACATTGTCACAGGGACTGCTAGCTGCAGAGCCTGTGCTGTCAGTGTTGGACCTGTGTTACAGGGGCTGGAAGTGTGTTCCTATGGTGCTTGTGTAGTCAATGGCCTCAAGGCAGCACATTTGTTTCTACCAGCTTTATTTGGAGGATGCTTATTAATGCAGGGAGTGACTAGGGCTGGTAGAGCACAATGCTTCCCAAGGCTTGGCTTCGTTCTGGTTTTGCATGGGCTTTCTGTCCTCATGTTACCCCGCATTGAGGCCTTGGACCTGCTGGAGGCTCTCAAGATTTCCACAAAGACTCATCAGCATCCTCTGCAGGGCACACAACTCTTCTTTGCTTTGCCTCAGGCCAATGCCAGCCTGTTTGTGGGAAGGTTGAACTTCGAAAAGAAATGTGATGCTGCTTCCTTCTGTCCCCAGGAGGCCACAGTCAGTGATGGTGGGAAGTGCTTTGGAGCTGTATTAAGTGATTTCACCTGGCAGCTCTTGCAGGCACTTCATGTGGAATTCTGAGCCCTGTAAGAACCCTGGGGAGAAGAGCAGAGCAGTGTGCTGCATCTTATCCCTGGCCATGCACTGAAGATGCTTGATGTGCTTGAGGACTTGTGTTTGAAGGCGAAAAAGCATGTGTCTCTTGTGCCAGGCTGGGCTCTAGGCTCAGCCCAGGGCCTTGAGCGCTGCTTTTCTCATGTTCTCAACCAGGGGAACCATCCCATGAGAGGCAACAGAAAAAGGGCAGCTTTCTTCTGTTGTTCACCCAAGAAAGATGATGGACAAGCAGCTTCTTGGCAGAGGTGGCTGTGGAGTGACTGCCACTGTCACTGAAGGCCCTAGCCAGAGCAATCCAACCCAGAGAGTGAAGAAGAGCCCGACATGTGCCGCTGATGCAATCCAGACAAGGAGATGACACACTTCCTCTGTACTAATCCCAAGGAGCTTCTTTGCTCTGAAGTAGCATACAGCTGGCTGCATGGCATCGGGGCTACAGCCTTGGCTTCTGTAGATGTTTCTACATGGCCGTTCCAGGTTTCCTTCTCCTCCTCCCTGGGTTCCTTCCATTTTGTTTTCTCCTATTTTCACACTCCCTTCCTCTTCCTCTTTCATCTTCCTTACTTGTCAGATAAAATCCTGACATGGTTGCAAATGTTCTTGTGCTGGCAAGCATGAGTTCTGTGCTGCTTCTTGTATGTGATCATTTATAGTTGGTCAATCTTTGATGTTGACATTGAAGATACACATGGCAAAAGCTGGAAGGAGGTGGTAAAATTATATAATGGGGTTAGGTTGGACGAATATCTTAACTGCTCTGCCAACTGGGTTTGGAATTGCTGTTTGCCATGAAAATAAATCAAACAAATCATTTTGTGTGAGGAACCTTGAATGTAAGGCTAGGCGATCTTCTCCCTAGCTGAAGTGTTTGCAAGCCCCAGGTAGACTGTAGGGTTTAATGTGCTGGTTTCGCTTACGGCTGGATGTGGTGATGTGCCTTTGAAAAGAGCTATTACAAGCACAATAAATGATCTTTGGAAAATGCAACTTAATTAAGTGCCATAAAGAAGCTCATTGCTAAGCCCTTGGAGAAAACTGTGGACACCTGCGTCCAACTCATTTGAATGGCAGTAGGCAGTAAGCATCCATCCTAATTAAACTCCTTGTCCTGGAGGGTGAGGCAGGCCTTTAGAGCACAAACACTGGAGGATGCTCTCCCTGACAGGCAAAACATCCAGCCCTGGATGTGAGTAGCAGAGAGCCTCACCCTGTCCTGCCATCAGCTCCGTTCCACAGCAGCACGGCAGCGACAAGGGATGGTGGGAAACTGCCTCCTTCCTCCTTTGTCTGGATGTGTAGAGGTTTATGTGGTGTCCAGGGGGCAAAGTGTGTTACTTTGCTATTTATGTAGGTAGGAGGCCATTGCAGTAGCACGAGTCCTCGTTACTCAGACCCAAGTACTCCATTTTAAGCACTTAAATCCTTGTTTGTGCAGATATATAAATGATCGTGATTCTCTCAAGTAGCGAGTATGTGTAACCCTAGATGAAATGTGTGCATATGAGAGAAAAAGATTTAAAGGCTCTGGATAACTCAGATTTTCAAAGTGTTTCACACTTGATTCAGAGGGTGCTGGGTTCCTCCAAGGCGGTGGTGAGTGGCAGTAGGTGCGACAGCACTGGGCATTAGGGGATGCCATCTGGCCAGGCACCCGATTGCAGCGATTTCCAAGGGAGCTGGTTGAGCCACATCGGTGTAAGAAGAAAATGGAGCAGTACCAACGGGCAGCTTACCCCCACAATCAGTCCTGTGCCCCCGTGTCCCTCTCATCAGCAATATCACTGTGCTCTGCTGTAGAAGGGAGACCTACAGCTGTCTCTGTGTTCCTCCCCATGCAGGTGCATCCGTGGCTAACCAAGGGCGGCGAGGAACCCCTGCCCCTAGAGGAAGAGCACTGTACTGTGGTGGAGGTGACAGAGGAGGAGGTGAAGAACTCGGTGAAGACGATCCCAAGTTTGCCAGCTGTGGTATGTATAAACCACAACCGCATCCTCTGCATAGGTCAAGAGCATGATACTTTGTTGAAGCTCTCAGCTGGTGAAGAAGGTTTGGAGAGGGTGAACGTGTGCTCCTGGCATGAGAAACTTGGTCTTTCAACCTAGCTGAACTTTCTGTGTCTGAGTACTGCAGCAGCCTGGCTCTGCAGGGCGTGATAGTGTGAGCAGTCCTGTTTATATCTGGCTGGCTGCTCTCATAAGAGCTATAGGGTCATACCCTCAAAGTGTCTGCCGTCAGACATCCCAGAACGCCAGAAGCATCCCAAGTGTGTTTTGTTTCATTAATCTAGAGGTTGCAAGACACCTCATTTGGATCCTCAAAATGAAGGCTCCAAACCTGGAGGTGGCCTGGCCAGAGAAGCAGGGAGAGGACATCTGCCAGTGGAGTATATAGCTGGCACTTGCCTGCCAGCCTTGGGGGACCACAAGCAGGTGTTCAGGGCACTCTCGGCAGTTTGTGTATAGCCAGCTGGATTACTGTAGGCGATTACTATGAGGCAGGTGGCTTTGGGGGTTCCTGGTACTGGGGAAGAGGGGTGCTGAGTACAATAAGGATCCATTTCTGAAGCTCTTGCAGTGTGATGTTAATATAGACACTTGCCCCAACAGCCACCTGGGGGAACCTGCCTTTGAACCCGCAGGAGCTGGCAGCACTCTGCACAGTGCCCGCCTGGGAGGATGGCCCAGGAGACCTCTGGTGCCTCTTTCTCACAGCCTTGGACCACCACGAGTGGCAGGCAGGCAGCAGCAGCATCTGTTTTGCCTCTTGCCAGCAATGGTCTGCACCCAGGGATCCGAGTTCACTGCCTGAGGAAGTGGCCTTGATGCTGCCTGGAACTCACATAGCTGTACTGTGGGTTTCTCTAGTTCATGCTCTAGCTGTCATTCTGTTAAATGTCTGTTGAATTATTAAAGAAGCTCCTGGTAGACGCCTTTGAACTAGCTTCAAGGGGGTGGTATGTCAGTCGTGCTGTTCTCACTGGTCTGTTTTCTTTCCTCAAAGATCCTAGTGAAGGCCATGCTAAGAAAACGCTCCTTTGGAAATCCATTTGAGGCTCAGACCAGGCGGGAGGAGAGATCCATGTCTGCTCCAGGGAATTTGTTGATGTACGTATATACAGCTTTACCTGGCTCTGCTGCACCTGCAGAGTAAAGGTGTGGGGGGGAGGATGAAGAAAGCAGCTTGCAAATCTTTTCCGTAGCATTTAAGCACAAAACTCCCTTCTAATTTTTTTTTTTTTTGATGCAGTTCTCTCTGTACGGTGGGTTTGGCCTAAACACATATAAGGTGCTAAACTTGGGTCTGGTTTTTAACCTGTTAGTTTATAATACGCTGTGATCACACCTGCAGAGTAAAGGTGTGGGGGGGAGGATGAAGAAAGCAGCTTGCAAATCTTTTCCGTAGCATTTAAGCACAAAACTCCCTTCTAATTTTTTTTTTTTTGATGCAGTTCTCTCTGTACGGTGGGTTTGGCCTAAACACATATAAGGTGCTAAACTTGGGTCTGGTTTTTAACCTGTTAGTTTATAATACGCTGTGATCAAAGATCTATCAGAGATTGGTGAACTAAAATGAGTTTAATTAGAGTCTAGTCTAGATATGTATTAGAGGGTTTAGTTCTCACCTTCTTATGGACAACAGAAAAGACACCAGATGAGCAGTTTGCTTGTTTTATAAGCTGGAAATGAGATTATGTGGTTTGTGGTCTGGGGCTCAAGTCTGGGCAGGGACACCACAGAGGCGCATGGGCAGACAGTGGAGAACACTTTGTTGCTCTTTCATTTGAGAAAACCTACAGTATTTTTTCACACATCCAGCTGCGAAATGGTGGACACATTGCAGTAGAATATTTCGGAGCCTGCATACAAATGGCTGTATTGGTATTAAAAAGGGAGTAGACAAATTAATTACTATTATATTCATCAAAACTTTCTAAACATAATGGTCTTGGGTATGTGGGGGGTGAGGAGGATTTCTCTGTCCTTTACTTAGCTCTTACTCTTTATCCCTCATGTTGGTTACTGATCCCTTTCAGAGCCAGGATTCTGGGCCATCAGTCCAATAAGTAACAGATGGACGATTAGCCTGACTTGGGGCGATTATTTTCATGTTCTCACTCTACAGAATCTGTAAGGCTGCAGTTCACAACAAAGCTGTGTTGTCCCAGAATGATCCTTTTCCACCCAAAATCCCAGTACCATGCCTAGCAGACTCCCATGAGGATGTGTGAAGAGTCTCACTGCACCTTTGACAATGCAAATAGAGGAGTGTCTCTCTCATGGGTGTGTGGGGATTTAAGGGCTCAGCTCAATTAAGATGATGATTCTTTAGGGCCCAACTGTGTATCTGAGACTTCAGTAAAGCCTTTGCCTTTGAGTCCAGGACCAGTTAATATCAGACAGCAGTTTAACAGTTAAACACCCCATAGATTGAGTGCTGCTGTGGGGACATATCTGAAGAGCATGGCAGTCACAGCTCCTTTGCCAGCTTTAGCACAAGGGATTTGTCCTCATTTGTTTCTCTTGGCTCATTGCCTTCCAAATTAGTTATTGCTAATCTGACACACACATCCCTGCTAATATCTTCACTATCATTCCTGGTCACTGCATTGCATTGCTCTAAGATGGGAGAACTTTTACTAAATTTGAAGAAAAAAATATTGTATGCTTCCCACTGTCCAGGACAGCTAATTCAGAGCAAGGCAGGATGTCTTCTTTTCAAGTTCTGCCTGAATTGATATTTCAAGGTAGTCTGCTGTTCCAGCACCTTGAGCCTGTTTCCAAGGGACCCGTTTCCTTCCACCTTCATTTGAGATGCTTGAAAGCCCATGCCACTATTTAACCAACTGGTGGGAAAACTTCTTGACCATGATGCTGTGGCTGGTTCCTGCCTGGACCCACATGCTTTATTATCTGCTCAGAATAAGTAAAGTTCACTTGATCTGATGTAGTTGTGAAGTTTCTGATTAGCCACGTTATCAATGTCTAATCCCTTTTAAAATCTTTTTAGGCCTTCCAGACTAGCTGTAAGCCTCCATTTTTGCTTTTATTTATCTCCCTTCTGAAGTTGCTAGTCAAATTAGCTTATACAAAATGGGCATCTTTCCCTGTCTCTACTCATGTCAGCCCCATGCTTGCATTCAGGCCCCTGGTATGGGACTATTCTAAAAGGTTTTTGAAAATGGGGCATAATTTCCACTGTTGTGCTGCTGTGTCCAGTGTGCTTTTGGTTTACAAGAACATGTCAAGTCAGGGATGGAGCTGCAGCCATGCTGGGCTCGCCTCTGCCCAGCAGTGTAAGCACTTAAAGATGTCCCAAAAGAATGTGAATGGTCTTTGAATGTGCCAGTTCTCCACTGCACTAACTTCTGTACTTAATTTCTCAATTTCATGCCATCAGTGCCAACTTCTGGCAGTAAGAATTGACTTTACCCTAAATTAATTCATGCACAACTGGAGACTTGAGAACTCATCTCAAAACCCTTCTCTTTAAAAGACATTGGCTAGGTCTCTTCAACAGTAGTGTCCTATAGTAAACACACCAGGGATGTTTTGGTTTTTTTAAGGAATGTGGGTTACTATTTCAAACTTTGAGAAATGCTATACTAGTTGAATCTAATGAAAATTGCTTTAAATGTAAATAGATTTGTTGAATCTAATGACATGGATTAAGTGAAGCGAGTCTAAGTGGGTAGGTTCATTGTTTAGTGAGTTATCTCTTGATTACAGTGTTATTTCCACAGGGGCAAACAGAACTGACACTAAGCCCGTGCAGTTCTTAATTCATAGCGGGTTGTTCTGTAGTAAAACCACCCTTAATACGCATATAAAATATAACATCAGTGCAAATGTTATGAATAGCACTGTGTTAAGTTTTGAGTGAGTCTGGATTACTATAAATTTCTAGGACCTATTAGGAACAGAGAATATTGTTGTAGCATAAAGGCTCTGCAGAGTTCTTGCACATCAGGTGCTATTTCTAGCTCCGCAGCTGGACAGGGGACCACAAAAGTGGGACTTGTCAGAAGGGCAGCGCCTGCAGCCATCGCTGCTCTCTGGCCACGCTGCTGTGTGGTTGCCCACAAGGAGGTGAGAAAAAAGAAGCCACAAGTTCCCAAGCTCTCCATCACAGAGCTTCTCCTCCTGCATCTCCTTCTAGTTATGGATAGAAAATACCTTTTTGTGTTTCTATATAAGAAAAAAGAAAAGCAATTAGAAAACTCCAGTTTCAATGCAATTTATTTAAGTAGGCTGCATATGAAATTGCCAGAGCCCCGCTCACTGCTGCTTCAAGCCTCTTACATCTGTGCCCATACTGAGAATATATTTTGCAGGAAATCCTCTGACAGCTGAGTCTGCTTTCTTGTGTTTGATGCCTAATTGATGGTTCTTAAAATGGATCTGTCCTTTAAGCTCACTCTTTGGGATTTGGAGAAGAGGAAACTAAATCATGTGTTTGAATCTTTTTTTTTTTTTAATTTTTCCCTTCATTACCTATACACAGTGTGCTGGGCTCTGTTCTTGGAAATACTTTGTGCAGAAGCTGCGTGTGCAAGAAGTCTTTGTGGTAGCAGGAGGTCTTTCATGTTTGCAGCCTTTGTTACTTTGGAGGACACAATTAAGACACCAGTGATTTGAAATAGTTCTTAAATTAGTACTGGGAGGAGAGGGGGCTTTTTTAGTGCTCCTTAGACCTGGAAGAAGCAAATCTTCTCCTGGATGTTATTTATTGCTTTGTTTAGTAGCACTGAAAAGTTAAAAAGACATCTGTTAAAATGCCAGGCAGATTCGCCAGATAGAGGGGAACTAAAATGAAGATGCCCCTGTTCAGCAATTCTTGTTTTGCAACAGCTGCCTCTCCCACAAGAGCACTTCTCACCTAGAAGCCATGTGAGTGCTGCCGGCTGTCGCTTTACCCCACGTAGCCAGGGCTGGGTGTCCGGGCGGCACCGGATCCTGCCTTTCGGCACCACATCTTCTAGAAGATGCAGTGATTGATCGAGCCTTGCAGATCCTGCAGACCAGGGCCAGGTTCAAGCCTGTCATTAACAGTGGCTGCAGAAGCAACTGATCGTTTCTAATTTTTCCAATTGCAGACTTTTTTTTTTTTAAACCCAGCTGTTTAGCATTCACAGCTAAGTTCTGGGTTTACTGTTAGCAGCGTTTGCTACATTTCCTCTGCCTGCTCCAGATTTCTCCTAATTGAGTCAGCACTGGCTTCACCACATTTTATTGCTGTCATTTATTGCAACTACTACCTATCAAACTAATTGCTGTGTTTTGACAGACCCAATTTACTTTCCCATTATGGCTGCTATTGCTCTTCATGAAATGTGGTTGTCGGCTCCTGTATGGGGCATCAGCCTGTATTTAGAAAGCCTACCGTGCTTCCAGCCTTCCCCAAAAGAGAGCAGAAGAGCTGTCACTGCCCTTAGGGCCATACTGTCCATGTAGGCTAGGCACAAGGAAGCTGGGAGGAGAAAGAGGTAAAAAAGTGGCTGACTCAGGTCTCTGAGCAGAAGCAGCTTCTCCTAAAGCATCCTGGGGGTACCTACCTGCCTTGTGGGGGCTTTATGCTGAGAAAGTCCCAGGGCTCAGTGCCATAGGGCTGCTCAAAAATAGGCTGCTGAGATCCCACTAGGGCAGACAGGTTGACAGGATCATTTTTGACAAGGGAACAGCTGCAGGTTGGGTTTAAATTTGCCAGATGTTTCCATTAAAGCCTCTCCCTTGGTCTCTGCTAGTGCTTGGTGTCTGTCTCTCCAGTCCCAGGAAGATTTCGGGTTGGTAACACTTAGTTGCTATCAAAACAGGGTCAAACCCAACCAAAAGCCATATCAATTTTTACTGCAAAGAGAGAACTGTGGGTCTTGTAGGAAGAGCCATGCCCCACAGTGCAGGTAGGTATCCTCGTGGTCCACCTAAGGACCAAGGCACCCGCTGCAGTACAGGATTTTCCTCCAGCAAAGACCCCCCCATCAGCTGGATCCTCCCATGAGTGGCCCCATGCTCGTGTAGCTCTGCCCATGTTGAGTTCAGCCGCTGCACGCCCCATTGCACATGGTGGTGATGCTGTGACCATGATAGGACACAAAACCCTCAGAGGCACCAAATTATTTGGACCAAGAAAGCACATCTGGACATCAGCAGTGTGCTGGAAGTGATCTGGAGCTTTCAGCAGTGGTAGGGGCTGGGGTAGGTTTGTACCAGTGTTACCAGTGTCTGTCCTCATCTGTCCTTCGAGCTGCAAGTAAACGTGACTGATGCTCCATCCTCCATTTCACTCTGCTCGCTAGGCTTGTTAGGTACAGAAATACAAGCTCCTTTGCCTGCTGCCATCGTCTTCATGATCACTTTCTTCCTTTGTCTCATTGTTTTGCTCTCAGGGACAGACTCCTCTTAAACACATCTGTATATTTGCATCCATCTTTAAGGTAATTCAGTGTTTGTGTTTCCCCTGGGTGCTGTAGAATAGTGTGTGCTCTCCTCAGCCTGTGTGATTTGTGTGGTACTGAGAGCATTCGGCTCTATCCTTCCTTCCTGTAGGAGCAATTTTACTGCAATAATTCTGTGTGTGTGACGCTAATGTTTATGTATGCTTTTTTTTTATTCTTATTATTTATGGTTCTTTGGTGTTTCAGCCTTCTTTGGGGAGGGAGGGGTAAAAAAAGCCAGTTGGGTTTTAGCTGCTCAGCCCCACATTCGCAGAGGGAATAGCTACAGAATTTGGGAAAGCCTGAGCTTTATAATTTGGACTCAGGTTTAATATTTACTGGTTATGTGAAAGAAATGGGGCCAGAGCCATCTCTGCTCCAGCCACTCCTGTGCTTCTGCCTTGTGCTGCACCAGGAGGGCTCTGGGCTGACCAAAATTGTCTGCCCTGTGTGACCACCCACCCCACCTCAGCCAGGACTTCATTAAAACAGTCATTTGTCCAACCAGATGCACAGACCCTTCTAGAAAACAGTCTGTCCAATTAATTCTGTTAAATAACAATAACATTTGACGTAAGCAGTGACAAAGTGCTTACAAACATCTTGGTGTGAAGTCTCAGGGTCTGGTGTTTAGGCAGGACATGGCCTCCCCCCAGGCCTGGGGAGATCTGGTCTGGGATGAGAGGCTGGGAAATAACCACACATCTCTCAATGCCTCTGGGAGCAGCTCCATTGCTCTGGAGGCTCTGGCTGGCCTGGTTACTGCTCAGAGACGAACGGATGAGCTCGAGCCAGGATGATGCCTGCCCCGAGTGAGGAAGGACTTGCAGAGATTCTCCAAAAATAGTTAGGAGAAGGCAGGCGGAGGAGGATGGGGACTGACGTGGTGCTGTCGGTGACAGCTGGTGCCGCTGCCTGCTGCTACATTTTTCATACAGAGCTTCCTCGTGAGCAATGGCCTGTTTTCTTTCAAGACCTATTTCAGGAGCGACTGCACAGCCCAGCCACGGTCAGTTTGCCCCCAAAGTTCACCCATGTCCTCAGCAGAAAGGAAGGGGACATCACCGGCCTAGACGGGGCAGATCATTGGTATTAAGTGGGGACCCAGTGGAGGAATTAAGCACTTACCAGCAGTGTGTGTGTGTGTCTGTAGATGCTGTGATTCAGCTCTTTGTAGGTTGTTCCAGTCCACCCCTGTCCCCTGCTGCCTGCGTTCTGGAGGGAAGTGCTGTGAGGATCGTTGCTTGCTGGGCATGAAACACGGTGTAAACACTCAGTGGCCGTGATCTTCCTGCAGCTGCTGTGGTTAACAGCGATGTGGTCTCTTGCATAATTGCACAGGTCAGGCTTCGCTTGCCTGGGGTTTAGAAAATGTAGCAGAAATACGGTCTTATTTCTTAAAAAGGGTTATTTAATGGAGATTCACGTTCAGCCTCAGGCCTCACAGCACGAGCCCCAGCTCCCATGCAGACTGCAGAGCGCTGACGCCTTGATCTCAGCTGCTGTACGTGCAACCTGAGTTTAGCTGATATTCACCACCATGCATGGCTGCCAGGTCAGCCTGCTTGGCGTTGCACCCCTCCTGGGCTGGCACAAGGTGTTTGGAGAGGCAGAAGCCGCTCGGGGCAGCAGGGGAGCATTGAACGCGCCCCGGGCTTGAAGCGGGCTCGGCAGGGCACGCCAGGCAGCTGTGGGCAGGGAGCTGTGCTGTGCGGAGCTGCCTGTGCTCTGCTGGGGAAAGGAGCCTCTGCTCCTGCATGGGGTGATAAATCATTTAAAGAGGGTGATGACAGGCACCGAAGATGGGGCTGTTCCTCAGCCTCCCCCCCAGGGAAATGTTCCATGCTCTGGGTTCAAGGTCAGGTTTATCGCAGGGCTTTGCTGGAGCAGAGGGAGAAGGGAACATGATTTTGATCACTTCTGTTTCTTTGAAAACTGGCATGGCCCTATGTGTACTTTCAGTGTCATTCCCAGCCAGACAATAACCCCAGAGCCCCAAACCCACGCTTCCCAAACGCTGCTCCAGGCACATATAGCAGCACTGATTCTCCACTGCTGAGTCCACATGGACTGATTCTCCTGCGGCCGGGCTAGTGTGGGCGAGGCCAGATACCCTGGGAGGTGTGGATGCTTGGGAGTAGCATCGCCTCCTTTACGCTGTGGATATCTTCTCATCTTCATGATGGAGAAACAGGCGCTTTAGGTGCAAGTCACCTACCTGCCATAGGTGTCTGCTGTGGGGTGATGTGGGTGGCACCTGGAGGTGTCCTGTTTTCTCCATTCAGCCTAGAACAGTGACAGCTTTCTCCGGTCCGATCTTAGTCACAGGCTGCCCTATGGATGTCTGGGCTGGGTGGAGGTGTTACTCCTCAAGGAGCGCTGTGGCTGTTGCGTCCCAGGGAAGCAGTGGCAGGGTGTATCCCACTGCCCAGCATCCAGCTGGGCCTGTGGGGGATGTGGCTGCCAGTATGGCTGAGGCTTTGCCAGACTGGCCAGCTCAGCTTGGAGCCCATACAAGCCCCTCAGCCTGAGCCTGCAAAATGCTCCATTGGCCTAAATATCTCTGTTCATGCTTCGGAGTGATGCCCTAAGCAGCTTTGAGCCTGCCTCCCCGCTGGCAGAGGTAAGGTATCCTGTCCCACCTCTGTCCACCCCACCAAAGCAAAGCTCAAGCCTTCTACATAAGAAGACACTGAAATTAAGAGCAGGGGAACAGGCTTGAAGCTATTCTGGTGTACGTACGATACAAGCAAGTTACCTTGGCTGTGTGTTAGGGACTGCTGCTCTCTTGTGCTGAGTGATTGACTCGTGTGCTGACCAAACTCTCAGAAACTGAAAGTAAGCAGCTGTTGTGTAGGCAAAACAGGGTTCTTGAAAAAAATTTTTTATTTCATTTTGCAGCAGAGCTTTGGAGAAGCAGTTATGGTACCGAGCCATCACTCTTCTTAAAAAAAAAATAAAATATCAGGTTAAAGAAAAGCAAATCAGAACTCCCCAAATACAAACTAGATGATTCGGAAACATTGCTGCAGGTCTGCAAGAACCAGATACCTCCTCGGGAGCTGGGAGAAGGGTGCTCAGGGAAGTGCAAAGCTCAGTCTTCCGAGCGCAGAGACCAAGCCAGTGTATAGGCACCAGTCACGTAATGCTGCAGCACGTCGAGCTGGGATATTGCTGAGCCATTTATGTGGCACCATCATAACAGGCTGGTTCTTTGCTGTTCCCTCTTAATATTGATGTGGTTGACCTGGGTTGCCTGTTGGGGAAAAAAACACCCCCTGCTTTATTTCTTATATTGCTATGTGCCTATAATTTCTTTATTTCCTTGCCATTTATGTAGAAAACAAGGGAGCAGAGAAGGAGGCAGGGACCCAGAGCTGCCCGATGTGTGTGAAGACGAAGCTACATCCTGAAGCTGCCTGGCTGTTGCAGGCTGGTCGCTCACGTGCTGCTGCTGTTGTACCCATCGTGGTGTTGTCTAGCACACATCTGCCCTCATCGCCAAGTCCAGGGCCTGCAAAGCAAAAAACAAAACAGACCAACCCAGAAAACCAGAAGGGAGGAACAGAGCAGCAACAAGGAGAAGAGCGAGTCCTCGGGCAGCGCAGCTGGCGGAGGGCTGGCTCGGCCTCATGGGTGGCTGCGTTCCTCGTGCAAGGTGTCCATGCGCTCCTCCGTGTGTGCCTTGCTCTCCACTTGTGCTTGACGCGTGGGCTTTGTAGTTGGGTGTCTTCGCTGATGAATGTGGTTTTATTTGTAACGCAGCAAACCAAACGTTGTCTCATGGGTTGTTTGCCCCAGAGACTTTCTTTTTCCTTGCTTTTTTGCTTTCTCCATTTCAAGCATCGGGGGGGGGGGAGAATTACATCAGAGCCAGGTTTTATATCAGAGCGCAACTGTTTTATTTAACCCACGGGTAAAGCACTTCTGTATACCAGGACACATCCTGCTCCTATTGGAGTTGACAGCAGAGTTTCTATGGATATCGGTTAAATGGGGATGAGATCTTCCTTTTGGAGTGAGCACTATTATTCTCTATGCCTTTATCTCTCTTTTTTTTTTTTTTTTTCCTTCTTTTATTCCTCAGTTTTGCACAGTGTAAATCCTGCCAGCACTGATGGCTTTAGTCAGGGAGGTGTCGTAAAATAGAACTGCACCATATTCCCAGTAATGTGCAATGAGCCTTTGAATGTCACAGCCATCTCGGAGAACTGGGATGTGCTGTTAGGTGGATATGGCTTAGCGCACCAAGGACACCACGTGTGCCCGTCGCAAAGGGATGGGATTGTGCTCCATCGGCGGCGCCCAGTCCTGTGCACGCGGACCTTGTTCTCAGAGGTGAAAAGAAGTGGCAGGTTTGGGGTTTATTTCACTGAAGGGTGATTTCCTTTCCCTCGCTCATTTCTTAGCTCCTTTAAAATTAGGTACCTGATGCTTTTAAACTTTATTTTCCTGATAAAGGACCCAAACTGGGAGAGCTCCTTAAAATGGAAGATGTTGGTGGAGGGGTTCTAGACTAAGGAAAGCTACAGAACACAAACAAGATCAAGTTTTGATCTTTTGGGTTTTTTAAGGCTTTAATTTTTAATTTTATTTTAAGACTGTAATTTTTATGCGTGTGCTGATGCTGCTGTTTTATCCATAGATTGCTTCTAAACTTGGGATTAGAAGCTTCATCTCGACAGTTTGACAGCAGGTGAGAGATTGCACTTAAAAGGGCAAATACAGCCATTTCAGTGGCTGTTGACTGTACAGACTCTGTGTATAATCAGGAATTTTGCTCTTGCACTCAGAGTAAAAACCAGTGACATCGATCCATCAAAATATATGTTAATATTTTCCCTTGGGCTTTATGGGGTCTGAACATGTCCCTGGGAAGCCAATGGGATTGAATTCTTATTTTATAGTACTTAAATAAAGGGCACGATTAAATTTGGTTCCTACATAATCATCTTACTGTCTCTCTTTAGGTTAATCCTGAGGGCGTGGGACTTTGTCCCCAAATTTTTTGTGCGAGGGGATATGTGTACGAGGATTGTCGATAGCGACTGGTGTACTGTTCTTCCCATCCTGTTTGCTGCAGCCTAGGTTGGTGGTTCCCAGCGTTTTCCTAACTGGGCTTTGCTGCCAGTGCCTTCTGCTCCCTCATCCGCAGTTTTTGCCACATCCCCTCGCTGGTCTTCAGCCACCTCAGCGGGATGCCCAGAAGCAGTCGCCAGCCTGGGTTCTGCCCTGCGTCTCGCCTTTAAATATTGGCAAATTGGGAAATAGTATTGCAGCTAATGTATTTTATGAAGGAGACCTTTAATTTTTAAAGCAGGCAAAGGGATTATATTCTGTAGAAGTTACCGCTCAGGGCCTGTGCTCTGCATCGCTCACATCCACATGGTAAATACTGCCTGCATTTGTGCATCTGCCCGCACCAACTGTGTGCTCAGCATCCTCCCAGGGCCTGTGGTTCTGCTTCGCCGCAACACATCCTGCGGGTCGACGCGCTCCAGCGCGGGCTTGGGCCCTGCTGCCTTGTAGGGAAGATGTAAACGCCTGGTGAAAGGCAGTGAAAATGGAGATGGGGACTTGGCAAGGCTGGGGGCACAGCAGGGCTCTGCCAGTGCGGGAGGAGGGACTGGCGGGAGGGGATGGTCTCCGCCTGGGGAGTGGGTGCAAGTGGCTGGGCTGCTCCTGGGGCAAACTGGTCTGTGCTGGGAACACAGGGCTGGGGTGCCACCAGGTCCTGCTGCGCACCAGAGGCAGAGATGAGCAGCCCCGGGGAAGTGGTAGGAGCAAACCATCTGTCCTTCAGCCTGCGGAAGAATGGTCTCTCTCCAGCTGGTGGCTCTGGGGCTCTGCTGCGGCAGGGCCGGGCTGTGGCAGCAGGGGGGACGGCTGCGATGCTGGGGAAGCCCCTGGCCTGCACAGAGGGGTGACCTCGGGACAAGGACACATCTTGGGAAGTCACCTTAGCTCTGGGAGAAAAGGGAGTACTGGTAATCCTTATCCCCACAGGACGTCTGAGGTCTTAGCAATGCTTGGGTGGTGCTCAAACAGCTCTGAGTGCAAATGTGATGTTACTTATTGTATTTCTAATATATAGTAAGAATAATTTGGGGATGGAGAGATGCTTTGCTAATCCAGCCAGTTGTTGGGGTTGTTCTAGTAATGCCCAAGGGGGTGGGAGCTAGTGGGGCAAGACTGCAGGAAAGCTGCTCTCAGCCTCAATTAATGCAACCAAACAAATGAACATTTCCAAATTATCTCTGTGTCACGTTCCTTTAGCGGTAGCTGGAGCGCCGCTTCAGTTTTGGAGAGGAATGAGAGGGAAATGTTTGGGGCTTTTTTTTAATGATTATCCCAAAATCCATGTTGAAAAAATTGCTGAAGGAAATCCTTCTGGAGCAGTTTCCACAGGTCCAGGGAGCAACCAGAATTGTGCAGCTGAGCTTGTGTCGTACCTTGTTCCTCCAAGAAATCTGCCAGCCTTGTGGGTCGCTCCTTTACACCTCCAGAAACCATCTGTATCGTGTCGCAGACAGCAGCCTGAAAACTTGCATGAGGTGAAATGAAAAAGGTGCACTAGCAGCCAGAGAAACGCTCGGATTTATTCAAAGGCTTGGTAGGGCTCCTGCAGAAATACACTCTACTTCTCACTCAACTGAAACGAAATCCTCGCTTGTTTATGTGTGTGTTCAGGCAGCTCAGAGCAACGCTGTTTCTGCTCTGAAGAAAGGAAGAGACTAAAGAGATAGTACTTATTTAAAAATAAACATCTCTGGTAAGCCAACCCTTTTATCTGTTCAGGAAAGTCATTCTCTTAGCTGGATAGCTAAATACTTGTCTCGCTTCTCCCTGTGAAGGAGGGGATGGGGTTTGGTGCGGCA